AAGTGCAGCAAAGTCCAGGAGAGGGCCAGGAGGTAAGGACACATAACATTTAATAGAGTTAAAGACTGAGACATGATAAGAAAAGACTTAATACATCTGACTCTTCCATTGTCACTTATCTCAAGGCATTTTTTAAAATTTCTTCTTTGATTTCATCATTGACCCATTGGTTTTGAGTAGCAGGTTGTTTAGTCTCCAATATATCTGACTCTTAATGGGTCGGAACAGGGCATTGGACAGACTCAAACAGAGATCGATGAATTGACATAAAAAGGGAAACAAATGTAATCTTTTAAAGTGAAGGGGGAAGATTATTTTTCCTGAAACCAAAATGCCAAGAAGAAAATTCCCGGTGGCGTGGCCACAATTTGGGTATGTAAGTTCCCAGGGGATGGAATGGAGGCTTCAGAGGAAGGGTAGGGGAAAGCGGACTCCCCTCAGCCCTGTGTCCCTGCAGTCTGCATGTACACTTGTCAACATACGTGATGGCAGTGGTCAGATGCCTACAATCGCCCAGACTATAAAGAGATGAACCTGTGAAGCCATGAGACTTAGCCTGGACTTTTCAGGAAAAAAGCTGTGAAACTGAATGAGGGGATATCATTGAGCACATTTCCAGCTCCATAGATGGTGACTACCAGCCTTTTAGAAGTTCTAAATAAGTAGATTATATTGCGTTTTTCCATATAGAGTCTAGGAAATTTGGGCTCCATAGTACTGACCTTTCACTGAATAAGAAAAATGTAAAAGGAGCTTTTGAACAGCATGAGTTTCCAGGCTTAAGCTCCAGGTGGGTTTAGTGGATACCTCCTGAGCTGCCTCCCTAGATGCCCAGTGAACCTCTCTCTCACATGCCAGATAAGCAGATACCAGAACCGAGTTTCCTTCTGCTTCCAACTCCACCATCACTTGCCTTTTTGCTCTTCTGTTTCTTGAGTCAAATTGCACATCATCCAACACACATCCTATCATGGATCTGATGAGCAAATAAGGCTTTTACGATGCTGTGACCTGCACACACACACATGTGATCACTGAGATAATGCTCTCCTTCCCCCAGCCCTCAGTGGTCATATCAATAAAACACACAGTGATCCACCTTGACCTCCGGCTGAGGGATAGATATTTAAGTCACTCACGTGGAGTCTACTCCCAACAGGAAGAGGCTGGAGTTGGAGCTCCCCAGGGAGCAAAAGGCTTGAGCAGAGGAAAATGTTTTCTGATAATTAATGTTTAGAATAATGTCCTAAAGTCCACAACGGGTTAACTGCACCATCTAATGGTTTAGTTTTTTCTGCATGGACATGTTCTGACCATCACCCTAGTCTCTCCAGATCTGAACTGGTCTTCATTCTCAATCTGCTCTTGACTTAACTATTTTGCTAACAGCCTTGCCCTCCTCCAGGTAGGAGGTTTTAAACCTGAGTTATCACTGACTCCTCCCTGTCCCTAACCCACACATTCAAGCAGCCGCATCCAACTGGATCTTTCAGGAGAAGGGAGAAGCCATTCCAGAGCCCACAGGATGAACTTCACTTGACTTATGGAAACCAAGTTGGGAGCGTGCAGCGAGGGGCCTTGGGATGACACTTACCAAGTCAAGGGGCGGAAACTTCCTGGGCAAAGAGGAGGGACAGTCATGCTGGCCCACAGACCTCCACATCGGAGTAGCTTATAAAGAACAGAAAGACAAAGGGACAAACAACTCAGCTGACATCATCCTCACTCTGGAATTTTTCTACACCCGATTGTTACCCCTGGGGGCCTCAAAAATTAGCATCTTCCAGGGGGAGCCAGGGCCAGATAAATACTTGGCTTTGCCACAGACATAATTATCTTTAGTTTCTTTTAAATGTTTTGGATTTTCTCAAAATGTTTTCAAGTATAACCTTCATGGATAAGGCAAAATTCATTTATTTAACAGAAATATTTTTGAGCACTTGCTATGGACTGGCATTTGTTATCAGCACTTCATGGAGTTAAAATGAATCTCAGAAAGTCTTAAAATGCAGTAAAGGTCACAGTGTTTTGGGGATGGAGTTGATACTTTGGATTTCTGGTTTAGCCCCACCTATTATCTTGGGAGGGGAGGAGCAGGGACTTGTGACATCCTTGCTTTGCCTGCAATGTGGGGCTGAGAGGTGGGTGGAGCCTGGGGCAAGATTTGCCTCATCTCATCCCCTCCATCATCTCACAAGGTCACCTCACATCTCCCATCACAGCTCATTATAACCATCCTCAAACCCAGCTTCCCTGCTAGTCTCAAACAAATAACCTGCCCTTTCTCTGCTCTGTAGTATAATCCAGCCCCTCTAGCAGCCTGACCCTAAATGTTTTCTAGCCTCATGTCCCCAACACTATAGAGGAAAATAAAGATTTGGAATAACTTCTAGACTGGGACTGCTCTACTTTTGCTAACTCCTCAAAGAGGCCTTAGGCATCAACTAAAACCATCAACAATTCTTTGTTAATTAAGGGAGCTTTCCCCCTGGCTCTCGTCAGCAAGTTTGAGAGAAGTTCTTTGCAGGATCAATGGAAGAGCCTCACAGTGTCTCAAGACTGCCATATGGCAAGGAGTTGGCAGGGAATTAGGATGAGCTGAGAACTCTGTTGACAGCTGTCCACGGAAGGGAACCTCTGGGTTCCGGAGCCCAAATGGAACCCTTTCCTGCACATTCTCCTGCTGACAGAGCAAAGGCTGTGTTCTCCCCCTGGAAGGTCTTCTTTTCTCACACCCTGTTAACTCAGGAAACTCTGTCCATGAAGATTTGTCCCAGGTCTTCTCTCTTGCAGGAAATCATGCATGCACCCCTGGGCTGGCTTGGGTGTCCTGCCTCTATACTCCCATAGCAACCTAAAGGCAATGCATGCTGATGACCCTCCATTTTTATTTCCATCCCAGATGCTAAGCTGTTGATTCTCATACCTAACTGTGTGTTGGATATTTGTACATGAACATCCTGCAGGAACCTCAGGTTCAACAGGCACAAAACCAAATCATGTTTCCCCCTATTTACAAAAGGTGCACACACACACACACACATACACACACAATCTTTTTGTTTGTTTACACAAGGCATGATATTGAATACAATTTTATTTGCAACTTTTTTCTCCTTTTTTGAGTTTAATATAATGTATTCTTCAAAATTTTGTGACTTTCTAATATTCTATCATTTGCATTTGCCAACATTTACTTAACCACTGGGTATTTAGTTTCCAATTTTCCACCATTATAAATAATAATGCAACCCAGTCCCTGCATCTCTGAGTTTTGTCCTATGTCCTGAGTAGTTTGTAGCCCCAATTTGTGCAAGGATCTTGTCTCATCCATTGCTAGTCTACATTTTCAAGACTGGATTCCTTGTCATCTCATGAAGAAAGTGCAGGTTGCTTATGTTTTATCTAAGGGACAGGGGAAACAAGTATTCTTCCTTCCCCCCAACTCATATTCTTCTCCTATATCCTTATTTTGAGAGGAGTTACCAGCTCCAGGGCACATCGGCTTGTTTGTTAACAGACGTTACTTTAACTCAGTTTACTATCAAGGAAAAGAAAAAAGATTCATTATGTAAGCATGCGGCAATTCAAAGCCCTCATGAAATAGAGATCAGCTGGTAGGAAAACAGCTTTGCTTGCATTTTTAGACCATTTAATTTATACTGGGACTGATGGTGACAGATGCTAATGATGACAATTGCACCATATTTACTTTAAGGTGGTAGTGATACAGATGTGACTCAACAGGATGACCTTGCTGCAATGCCCGACTTCAGCTCCCCGCAGAGCTGAAAAAGTCTACAGTATCTTTCTGATTATTTTTATTTCATTAATAGTACTTTGCACGTCCACTTTTATTTTTAATGTATTTTATAAGTAAAATACTTATATACAAATGTGATATATGCAGTGGTATTTTCAGCTTGAGAATGAAAGTTAATTCGCCTTAGAATTGAGAGGAAGATGGCAGTGATGGGAGGGTCCCACGGAGGTCCATTTACGGGAGGGACGGTGGAGCTTCTGGGAGGAGGGCAGAGTCCAAGGACAATGGGTAGAATGTCAGAGGGCATCTCATCTCCAGGTGCCATTCCCTCCCTAGCCTCACCTCCAGACTCATCCTAGGTCAAATAAGAGAGAGTTGCAGCAAAGCTATGGTGAATATAAATTTTCTTTATTATTCCTTTATTGGTAGGTATGTAAGTTACTTAAAATTTCCCTCATTTTTGCTCTTCCACCTTTCGGACAGATTCCTAGAAGTGGTTACAAAGGTTATAAAAACTAGTATATTTGATAACAAGATGTTTAGCCAGGTCCTCTATTTAATGGCAGACTATTTTCCCCTAACATTTTATTGTAAAAATTTTCAAGCATATAATAATAAAGTTCAAATAATTATACAGGGAACACCCACATGCCCATCATGTGGATTTTGCCATTATATTTGGTCTTTATAAATGAGATCGCTCAATAGTTATTCTTCTTTGACCTGTGTGTTTCACTCATTATTATGTTTGTGTCATTCGCCTATTAGTGTCTACAACTGTTGCTCGGTTACTTTTTAAGGTTGTTTAGCATTGCATGGGATGAACACACCACAGTTTATCATTTCTTTTCTGTTTGAAGGTATTTTGCTTCTGTGAACACTCCGGTACACACCTGTTGGTGCACACATGCAAGAATTTCTCTATGGCCGCTAATTAGAAATGGAATTCATGCACCTTCAGATTTAAAGGATAAAATCAAATTGTTTCTGAAAGTTCTTGTACCACTTTATGGTCTTACCAGTTGTGTACAATATTTTTTAAAACTCTATATTCTCATCAAAACTTGTTACCTCATTTCTTCATTCAGACCAATACAGTGAACATGAAATGGTGTCTCCAGTGTGATTTTAATTTGCATTTGCTAGATCACAAATAGGGCTGAACTTCCTTTCCTAAATTCCCTTCCTCTTCTGTGAAATCCTCCTTCATGTCTTTAACCTATTTTCTGTTGGATCCCTTGTATTTTTCTTGTTGGTTGCAGAAGTTTTAGATATATTTTGGATACTCCAGGACAGCTATATGTGATGCAGATGTCTTTGCATTTGTAACTGTCTTTTCACTTTTAAAAAGTTGCCCTATGATGAATAGAGATTTTAAATTTTAATGCAAGCAAATTTCTCAGTCTTTTAAAAATGATCAATGCTTGTTGGACTTCTTTAAGAATGATTGAGCTCCTAGAAGATCATGAAGATATTCCATAGACTATTTCCACAGTTTGACATTTTTAATCTTCAGTATAAGTATCTTGTCCACCTGAAACTGAGTTTTGTGCACGGAGTGAGAAAGATGGCTAACGTCACTTTGCCCTGTGGATATCCGATTGCCCCAGCATTGTTCACTGAAAGGCCTGTCCCTTCCCCTACTGCTCTGTTGGCTCCCCCATGTCACATACCAAATTCCCACATATTATTTCCAGATTCTCTAATTTGTTCTTTTGGTTCATTTCTCTAATTTTGCTCAAAAATAGGACACAGTCTTAATGACTGTACCTTTGAAACATGTTATGATGCCTTGTGGGGCAGACAGGAGCTGTTTTAGTGAGACAGTAAGAGAGACATACTCTGGATGGTAGCAGCTTTTAATTAGAATTAGAGTCCGGAGGTGAGGACTGGGTGGGGGCAGGATGAGCACAGCTTTGACGTGGATTCTTGGGCTCATCCACTGCATGACAGACACCAGGCACGTTGTAAGACGGACAGCAAGCATCTGAAGGTGAAAATAAGCCACTAATCTTTCCCAATTGACTAATATCCTGTAAGTGGATATTACCTGACCAAAAAGGAGCTGGAAAAGGTTGGCACTAACATCAGAGTACATCTCGATGACAGAGACAGAGTCACAGGGGTGTATGTGGCAACAGTTACTTTCCGAAGTAGTTGGAAGAAGTGAGGATGGAAAGTTTTATAGGAAGTTGGTAAAACCACATTACGGGGTTTGAATTCCAGCTCCAGTTACATCCTAGATGTACGACATTGCTAAGCCTCAGTTTCCTCCTCTGCAAAGTGGGGCAAATAACGAAGCTACATCAAAGAGTTATTAGGAAGATCAACTAAGCTAATGTACTAAAATGCAGAAAATATTAATGATTGCTATTTTAGTATTATTAATATTTGCTGATTCCCTGCCAAGGACTTGCAGCATGCTATTTCCTTTTTAAGTCTCAGACCGACTCTGAGTGGTCCAGATATTGTTCTCATTTCACAGATGAGGAAACTGAAGCCCACAGGTGTTCAGCAGCGGGTCCTAAGTCACACCACTGATAGCTGGACAAATGAGTCTGAGTGGAGACCACGTCCATGCTTTTCAATACTGCACCAGGCTGCCCTGGCAGATATGAGGAGTAGGGGGTCCTACAGCTAAGGAAGTGTAAGCTCTCCATTATGGTGGGCATAACACAACTCGGTTCGTCTATTGCCACTTTCAGAATCATTAGGGGACCCCCAAGATGCGGTCCCAGTGGCCCCTACTAACAAGGTCTTGAGGGAGAAGGCACTGCATTCTGAGGGCTCATTAGGGCACTGAGTTTGCAGCAGGCTTCTCCCCCTTGCCTTCTTTCTTGTGCCTCCTCTCATCCCCAGCTCTAGGCAGGCCTGGAAGTCAGCAGCTCTCTGCTCAAAGCTCTTCTTTCTTTAAGCCAGGGGTCTGGGAGAGCAAAGCTCTCGGTCTGGACTCTGGTCCAGTTCCAGCTCCACCATTCGCTTCCATGGGTGACTTTAGGAACCTCTCAGGACCTCATTGCCCTGAGTGTGTGATGAACGTGATTAATAACCCCTTCTAGTTACCCCACGGAGCCAGTATGAGCGGTGGAGAAGAGTTGGCCTTTTGTGAGAAAATCAAAAGCATCGCAAAGCCATGAAGCATCATTACTGGACTCACCAGAGACCTGGGCTTGTTTACTGGTCTGTGGCTCCCCAAGCCCTCGACCCTCCCTGGGAGGGCTAATTTCTGAGGTCCCCAGGGATGGCACTGCAATGGGCAGCACCTCACAACAGAGCTGATCTCACCTCTCTCTCTCACCCGTTTCCTTATATGTGGCCCCTTCCTTGCTCTCCGGGGCTAGGGCCCGCACAGAGCTGCGCCTGCTTCATTTCCTCCATCAGAACCCGCTCTGGCTTCTGCACCTGTAACAAGGTGAGCGTGCTCCCGGGTGCCCCTTCTGCTCTCTGCTCTTTTTTCTTCCATCATTTAAGCATTTAATTTTTATTTTGCCTAAAGCTTTTAGAGTAATGAGAAATACTTGAAGTAACAAAGGCCATTGCTTTCCTTGCTCCTGATTTTAATAGAAAAATCACTACTAATTCACCATCATGAATGATTCAGATCTGCAGCAGACGTGGCCTGCCACGTGAAATGGTGTAACTACACACCCACTTCAAGTAACTACACACATTTTTTCTCTTTTTTCTCTACTTCAGGAATGTATGTCAATGTTTGTGAACTGCCTTTTTAGAAAATGTTCCTCTTTTTAAGCCAACGTATATGCTATCGTATATTAATAGATTTACTAATATTAAACAATCCTCTCCTATAAAATCTATTAGATAATGGTGGATTCCTGTATTGTATTTAGGATTTTTCCATACATTATTATCCAATGAGGGTGGTGTAGAACAATTCCTTTTTTTTTTTTTGCTATCATTGTTACATTTTAGCATCAGGATTTGCTAACTTCAAAGATATAAAATAGAAGGCTTTCATTTTTTTCTAAGTTAAGAAAAGTTTATATTACATTATAATTCTTAAAAAAAATTTGTCTAAGAAGTATATGAGCTTGGAGCCTACAAGTGGAAGTACATGATCTACTACTTTTTCCTTTTTATTTTCAGTTATAGCTAGTTTATTTATTCACTGTTTGAACTTAGGAGCAGATAGTATTCCAAGATTATTTGATTACTTTTTGAACTTTTCAATTCCTAATTTTGTGTATCTTTACATTTTTCTTGCTTAGATATTGGCCAGATATGTATTTCTTTACATTTAAAGGACTTCTGTTCAATTCTGTC